ATTGCGTCAGAATATATCCGCAATAAATTTAAATGAATTAAATGATAAGGAATTTTAGTTTTTCTAATGATTTTTCTCTAACAAAGAGCAAATTCCCCGAAGAGTGTCTATAGGTGGTATAGGCATCCAAAATCTTTTAAAATAAGGTAGAGGTAGGCGGTTTATATTAAATAGTAACAATTGGGGACATATTGGGGCAAGAATATACAGAAAAAACGCCAACATCTATTTTGGGCATGCTTGTAGCTTTGGCGCCACGTTTTAAATTCCATTTTTCATTTGTTTCTCGCCAAGTGTGTATACACTTTCGTAGTGATGGTCAAATTTTCAGAGTTGCACCGAAAAACTATCGCCTAAATATCACCAAACAAACGGTCGTTACATTTAGATGCGCTTTGATGCAGGGCCAATTGAGAAAATTCGGAACGGCAAAACCTTATGGACCGTTTGTTCAACGGATGCCAGATGCGCTTTGACGGTGTGTGGGAAGACCCTATTACATCGCGAACGGTACAAGATTTTTATATGTTTTTACCTCACGTTTTTGTATGAATAACTTCATATTTTTTTGAAAAGCAAACTTATTGTGTACTTAATAGATATCAAAGAGAAATTGTTGTAGAAAACATTTTGTTTGTTTTGCATGCAAAAACTGAAATATAAAAATCACTTAAAAATACCATAAAATACCAAAATTTTCGTTTTCTGGCCGATATAATGGTTATTGATGTATGTACATACATGTTCATACATACATACGTACATCCAAATTGCGAAATGATGTATTTTTTCCTATGGCGAACTTATGGCGCTTTGAAGCGTCATAAGTCCGCCGCAAGTAATTTTTAAACGCCATAATTTCGCGCGAACTTATGACGCTTTTCGGCGACATAAGATCGCGGCTGGCGAAATTATGTCGTTTTTTCTGTGGCGAACTTATGGCGCTTTGAAGCGTCATAAGTCCGCCGCAAGTAAATTTTGAACGCCATAATTTCGCGCGAACTTATGACGCTTTTCGGCGACATAAGATCGCGGCTGGCGAAATTATGTCGTTTTTTCTGTGGCGATCTTATGGCGCTTTCAAGCGTCATAAGATCGCGCGAAATTATGTCGTTTTAAAACGGCGAACTTATGGCGGCGGACTTATGTCGTTACCCCGCGTGTATTTGCTGCTTGCCTGCCTGCGTTTATTTTGTAAATATTTTCCAAATGCTGCTCAAATTATGCAGTTAATTATTCATCCCAGGATCCTGCCGGAGAGAGAGGCCACAGGAGCCACAGGAGCCGCAAGAGCAGCTGCCACTGTCAACGCTGCTCGCTGTCAGGCCTCAGAAATGCAGACCTTAAAAATGCCAACTAAAATGCTCATCTATTTCCAGCTAAGTTGTGTGCCTGTGCCTGTGTAAGTGTTCAAAGAATGCTGCTCGAAAATGGGCAGCGCGTTGTTCGGGCCAGGAGCAATGCAAATAGAGCTCGTAATACTGCAATTTAAAATGTAAATGCGAACAAGGCCAAGTCCGCTGATGGCCAGCATATGAATATGCGGCTGTGTCTGTGTTTCTGTGCCTCAGTGCGGGCCATAATAAAGGCGAGGTGCGGTGGGGCGGAGCTGAGGACATGGCAGATGAATAATTGAACTTTCACTTCCGGCCCTCCAGCCTGATTGCCTCGACCGCCACCGCCCACCCACGTGGTGTTTTATGCTACATATACTTTTGTTTTCCTCCATTTTCCTTTCGCTGTTTTTTCGCTTCTTTGGCTGTTTGATTTAGCAAATGGTCGACATAAACGAAACAAAGTTAACTCGCTGTTCCCCTTGGCGGCTGACCGCTGTCAATTTATCTTTGCATACTTCCAGGCGTCCAATTAGTTTCGATTGGCTGCCGTTCGATTCGATTTCCGCCTTCGATTGGGTTCGATCTGCTCGTCGGGTGACAAGCGTTTCAGCCCGATTTCACTTCCTCGGCAGCGGGCTCTGTCCAGCGCCTTTGTCTCGAGGCTCTCGGGGCTCTTAGCACTCAATTAAATCGCTTTTCGAGGGTCATATTTATGAGTTTGCCTGTCCTGCTCGTAATTCCGACCAGTGATAAATGACTGCGACTCGATTGGGTCACTCAATTAGAAGGCGCTGCGTGTGCTTAAGTGGCATTTTCGGATGTTTGTCCTAATCGATTAGCGAAAAGGGATGAAAGCATGGGCGAGAGGATTTTTCCGTTCTTTGCATAAATTAAAAATTAATTAAGAGCCAAGAAAACCGGGCTAAAGCGCTCTTCGAAAAGTAATTAAAGCTGACCATCAATCTGGTGGGAGCCGCAGAAGAGTGTACCCAAGCCGTAACCCCAGCTGAACCGAACCCAAGCCCAATCCAAAACAAAATCCAAGCACAAGAAAGATTCTGAAATTAATTTTTTTCCCGACTTTTCCTGGGCTGAGAAGAGCAAACATCAACGCTTGTGGCCTGGCCCAGTGCGCTCAGCTGTAAATAAACAGAGGCAAATTCAAATAAGCAAAGAATAAGTAAGAATAAATAACTAACAAGCCAAAGTCGCTCCCAACTCACAGCTCTCGGCTGCACCGCCACAATGGGCCGTGTCGGACTGAAATAAATCACATCCATTCACACAATGCGAGTGGAGCGTGGAGCATGTCCTGGCAACGACCCATCCGAGCCAAGGACCCGAAAGCCCACGACCCACGGCCCACGACCCGTGACCTCGCCCAGCCAGAGGACGAGCAGTGAAATATTATTTGGCCAAAAACATGCCACTGATTTTATTTGATGTGCGCATTGATGGCCCTGATTGATTTAAACTTCAATTCAATTGATATCTCTTTCAGCTCTCGAGTTGTATGTACCTCTGTCTCCAGCTCCTTCGGCTGCTTTGGCTCCTTTAGCTCCTCTTTTTAATCGTCTACTCCGCATTTGCATCCACTGTATGCTCGGCTAACTTTGAAAGGTCAAACGAGAAAGGAAGGGGAGTCCCAAAGCCAAATCTCGGGCGAGGAAAAGGTAAAGATGCTGGAGGGATCTTGGCTTACCCCAAAAATATATATATTAAAGAATAACCGTTGATACACACCTGCTGGGAGTGATGTATTGTCGTCAGTCAGCGCCATCCCTCAGATTCGTGGCCAGACAAAGGCTGAAACCGGAACTGGGATCCCGAGGGGGTCCGGGTCCGGGTCCGGGATTCCGTCTTGCCTCGAACGCCCGTCGTTATTGTTATGGCGCATTGTCAATGCGTTTGACAAAAGCACTCGGCGTGTATATGGTATCTCTCTGGTGGGAAATGCGAAAAGCGAGCCACCTCCGAGGCTTTTCAATTTGTTGTTCTTTATTGATTTAAAGTTCACTTCAGTCGCGGTCGCTTTGTTGGCGAGTGTCAGCCGCACACGGGAGCCAACCACATAAAACTCATTTCCCTAAAGGTGCGGCGAGGAGACCTGGATATGGAGACCCAGGGCACATATAGCGCACGCAAATAAACACAATTCCGTTGCTGGCATTCGTATTTGTTAGCCGGAGTTTGCTTAGTTTGGCCCAACATGGGAATTACACGTTCCTACAAATGTTTGCCTACTTTTGCCGAGGAGCGAGTAAGTACTTCTCCGCCTCCAAGAGGTCTCCCCGTCCAAATGGAAAAGTATAGCCCCCGGCACTGGCACTGAAGTATTTGCCGAAATGAGGCGAAACTTGTGTGGCAGCAGCAGGCTGGGCTGGCATCGATTACGAGGCAAGCAAATTGCAAAATAAATGTACATAATTTGAAAATTGACATTTGCTAATGATAAGCCTCTGTCGCGCTGATGCTGAAATATGGCGAGCAGCAGCTGGCAGCGGCCCTTCCACCACCAGCTGCTGCCTGGCTTCCTGCCTTGGCCAGGAAGGAAGCGAAATTCCAGGGCCCAAAACGGAAATATTCCCCTCACAACACCGAAGCTGTTTATGGTAAATTAAACCAATTGAGTGGGATTACGTTTCAGGCACTACGCAGTCCGCCAAAGCCTGGTTTCAATTTCATTGTCTGGCAGAGCCTGCGGCTAACGAAATTTATATAGATACCCACACAATGCCATCAAAGACGCAAGGTGTTTATGGGCTTAACTCTCGGCTCGGATTCTGCTTATTCTTCCGCCTCCGAGATTTGCATGCTCTACGAATCGCGGAATCAGAGGAATCGGTGGATTTTGGGGAGCTAGGGATGCTAGGGTATTGGGGGGTAGTCGGAAGACAAATAGCCAGCACGTTGCGGTTCATTTAGCTGCCACAACAAATGCCAAATTGATGCAAATGTAAATGGAAATCGAATCCCAAACGCGGCTGTGGAATCTCAAGCAGAAGTCAATAGATGAGCGTGGGCTTAAAAAAGTTGAGATGCTCTGCAGGATTAAAGAGATATCTCTAGCCACTTGAAATTATTGTTTATTAAGCTGTAAGCTATGAAAGGATTAGACATTATGGCAACTAAAAACTGTAAATGTTCTTAAATAGTTTTAAATTACATACAGTATTTGTGGCAACTCGTCAGTTATTTAAATATCTTTAAGAGTGTCTATTAAATTTCCTAAACTCTCAAGATCTCATTTTATTTTTCATAAAATATTTAAGTAATTCCAATTCCTAAAATATATGATCAATAAAAAATGCCGGGAAAATGGAAATCCTCTTGGCCAAGTATGGTCAAAGGATTGGCTAAAAAATATCATATTTTTTGCTTATACAAACTGACCAGCAAGTCAATGTTGCTCCTTTCAATAAAGAGAAAATAATACGAGAAAAAAATGTTAGAGAGAATATGATAAATCACTTATCTTTTTCAATTGCAGGACTTGGCAAACGATTGGGCAATAATAACGGTCATCAGAGAACGAGTCCACCGAGAACTAATGTCAGGCAGCATGTTTTCCCCGTTGAGTGTCCTCTTTCTTGGCATTAGAGCAGCAGTTGACCGGACCGACTACTGAGCGCACACGCAGCAGCACCGATTGTGGTCATTATCATGACGCTCTTACAGAGACTTCAGGCCATGTCCGCCACCACGGCCAGGACGATGCTCGAGGGCAGCATCGGCGGCGGCGATACAAAGGAGCCACGACTCCAGCTCCACTTGCAGCCCTCGGAAAGGCAGCGGCTACCCGTGCTGGAGGACTCTGCGTCACATGCCCGATATTTGAAATTCATTGCCGAAGGCCTCATAGATGAGGGCGGCCTGGGCAGCGCGGGCGGCAGTGGGAGCAGTATCGCTGTGACCGTAGAAGACGTTGTGGCTGGGCAGGCACAGGACATGGACGCCGGCGACGCCTCCTCGGACGACGCCGACGGCAGCACACATCTGACATTAGTCTTTGTCAAGTGCTTCGTTATTGGTTTCATCATTCTGGCCGCCATCCTGGGCAACATGCTGGTGATTGTGTCCGTCATGCGGCACCGGAAATTACGGTGAGTCCCGGCCGCCAGTAGCCGCCTTTATTCCTTCTCCACATCCGAACATCCGCAGGCTGTGTGTTCATGTGTCTACGTTGACATTGGTCGCCGCCGCTCCATTAATTTGTCTCTTTGAATCAAGCGGTTTCCCTCCCTTCCCAGCCAAGGTTTGGGTTTCATTGTACACACAACACACTTTCTGGATTTATTACACTTTCCTGAAACCATAGGGATTTGGTGCTAAGTGATAATCAAATCTCTACGCATCATAGATTTATCAAACTCCCTAAGCAGCTAGTAATATGGACATCAAAATGAAGAAATGGTTAATTTGAATAGTGAAAATATTTAAAATAATTCAGAATTTGCTTTAACAAATATTTACATTTCAAAATTTAAGTATAAAATGAACAGAACTTCCTACATAAAAAGTAAAATTTCAAAAATCAATTCAATGATATCCACAGGTCAACAATAAACTTTTTTTACTGTTCAAAATAAAAATTGAGTATTTTTTTTAGGATTCAAAAGATTAATTTGTATTAAAATAAAACCCAGGAACCTCCACAAAAATATTTATTTAAATATATAAATTGTTTGCATAAATTTCAAGCCATTATATATCGAAAAAAAACGTGGTTAGTCTGTAAAAATTGTAAATTCGTATAAACCAGTAACCCATTCCAAAGACAAACCCAACTTAAGCCGCAATTATTCCGTTTTTTGTCCGCTTTTGTTTCTGTGCAATTGCCTGAGCTGTGCACTGCCACATTGTCCACGAATCGCGGATGTTGTGGCTGTCAAGGACATGGCTTTGGCTCGTAGTCCCCGCTTTTTGCACCTTCCGAGCGAGCGGCTTTGTGCGACTTGACCGCTCAGGGCTTTACGAGCTGGCCAACTCGTTTTTGCGGCCATTAATTTGTCATCATTTATCATATTCTCCATCATTTTTGCGTGTCAAGCGCACAGAACTCATCTTGTCCGCCTCCCGAGCATTTAGACACCGTTCGCCATTCAGGATTCACGATTCACGACTCACGGGCCATGCCTGGTTGATTCGAGTTAAATGCTAGATACGTGCGTAATTACATTAGAAATGTTAATAAAGGGCGAGCATAAAAACATTGCTGCCTGCTTTTCGGGCTGCCATTTCCATTTACTTTATGTGCGGACATATAATTTGTCAAATTTATGAATTGAGCGCCGCCTCCACATGAGATATGAGGCCATGGGGGGCTAGGGAGCTGGTAGGCTGGCAGCCCCGCAGCCAGGTATGTACGTGTTTCAGCCACAAATTCATAAGCTCAACTCGGTGGCATTTAAAGAACCCGACATAAAACACTCCTCCAACGAGTGGGAAGGCGGCGAGGTGACAATGGTGTGCGGCCTAACCCCGGGACGTTCAATGTCAAGGCGCAGAAACAAGAAGAGGCTCTGCCAATGCCATTGCCATATTACCTTTGCCTTGGCAACACATACCTGACATTTGCGTCTCAGTCTGTGCCTGAGGATGAGCATGAGCGTAAGGCTGAGGCTGAGACTGAGGTTGAGGCTCGGGGCTTTGGGGCTGAGGCTCATTTAGCCTGCCAGGGACAGGCAATTTGGGACCTGACCCTGACTACGTCTATTCCATGTTGCCATTTTTATCTCGACTGCCTGTGCCAGCATCTTTTTCATTATTGTGTGCTCATTGTGTTGTGCGTTTTCCGCACCATTTTCACCTTTTCTGCCTCGCTACGCAGTTTAAATCATCATGGCAAATTAGACTTAATTACGAAACAACATGTATTCCCACTTAGGCCGTACAGCACATCGCTCGCCCACGCCGCCTTTTTATGGCCAAGGGACCCACATCTTTTTTTGTTTCACCATATCCATGGCCTGGCTTCAAAGGAGTGCCTCCCTTCCCAGTAGCCCTACCCAACTTAAACAATTCATGCCACCCCAAGTACGCCCCGAATCAATAAATTGGGTGACAAATTAAAGGTTAAAGCCCAGAGATCAAGTTTAGCTAACGCAGGACAAGTTGCGGCGCACTTTCTCTACTTTCCCCATTAAGTTAAGCTTCCAGGAATGACGGCGGCAAGCGGAAAGTGCCGTCTCATAATTGTAATCAAACTTGACACCTATCAAGCGGGCCGAGCAGTTTCCCCTCGCAGTCTGCAGGCCTCCATTTAATCGGCTTTTGGGCAACGCCTGAATAACACTTTCGTGTTGCGTTTGATGCGGGTATTTTGCCTTTGTACCCGTACTTTGCGGCTATAAGTTTGTTCTCAGATACTCGACCTTTTCCCGCCACCATCTGCGGCTGGCTTTGTTTTGGGTCTGTTGTAATTAGGTTTGCGGGCGGAGCTTGGTTCGATGTCCTGCTGAAATATGACTAAATGGGGGCGATTGTTAACGAGTTTAATGGATAAGGCCTTATTACAACTGAGAGCCAGCCTCAGCCAAACTTTCTGCATTCACAAGTTCACCTTTCATATTAAATCACTTTTGCCCAAAACCGTTTAGTCTGAAAGCAAAACTTTCATTTGAGAAGTTTTGGCCTGTTCAGATTTCCTCCCACAGGCAATCCGGCTTTACGTTTGCTGTGGTTTTATCTGAGGCAAGGGGTTATGTTTGAAAATCAGTTCTGACGGCCGATAAACGAATTTGCTGCTCCGCATTGCGCATACGCCGCGTGCACATAATTGACTTAACGTTTTGCGGTGCCACGCAATGTTGATGATTGCTGGTGGAAGTTGCGGTGGCGTTAAGCTAATTATTAATTAACCCATTAAACAATGAAATCCACTCGGAGAAGCGCCGTGCCGTGCCGCATTTAACGGCGGTCACATGCGGCGTATGCGCAATGTGGGCCCCAAAGTTTTCAACTCAACTTTGAAGGCGCAAGTGAAAGCGATTAGCGATGTGAGCTGCGAGTGACTGGCAAACTTAATGCACAAATTCAACTTGGAAACTTGGGTAATCTGGATTTCCATTGCACTAGGGCTTCTTTTCGCAGTTACTCCCTTACGTTAATCCCTGAATTCACTCTCCCATCCTGCAGCATCATCACCAACTACTTTGTGGTTTCACTGGCCGTCGCCGACATGCTGGTCGCCCTCTGTGCAATGACATTTAATGCTTCCGTTATGATCTCGGGCAAGTGGATGTTCGGTTCCGTGATGTGCGACATGTGGAATAGCTTTGACGTCTACTTTTCCACCGCCAGCATCATGCACCTCTGCTGCATATCCGTCGACAGGTGAGTTGAGTCCCCATTTGCCAACGCAGAATAATTTTGAGTGTCGCCTAGGACCACTTGAAGGTATGATTTAAGGTAGTTTTACTAATAATTAAACTGACTTTTCACACAGATACTATGCTATTGTCCAGCCCCTGGACTATCCGCTAATTATGACTCAGCGGCGCGTGTACATCATGCTGCTGATGGTGTGGCTGTCGCCGGCGCTGCTCTCATTCCTGCCCATCTGCTCCGGATGGTACACAACGACCGAGAACTACAAGTATCTCAAATCAAATCCGCATGTGAGTAGCCCAGTTGGGGGGTAATAATGCGTTTAATTGAATAATTACATTTACCTGTGAAAGGAATAGGGGCCATTTCCACTCCCCATGAGTGGACCTTCGGTTACCTTCAGATTTCCTTGGATTTCACTCTAGGGCCTGCATTATTTATTCAATTTTCTTGCACATCAAACTAATAGAAAATTCCAATTTTGTTGATACGCACGTTGTGTATCGACTTTGCATGCATTTTACATGGCATCGTGCGTCCGTCCGTCTTTGACTTTGGCCTGGCCCCGTCTCAACGGGAAATTGATTTATGTTCCTGTGGCTGTGGCTGGAGCAGCAGTTTTACGCCTTTCAGGCGCACAGCCGACAGGTAGCATATTTATTACTCCGTTTTATTGGTTTCCTCCAGCCGCATTCGGCACGCCTGCTAGGGAGCTCTACGGGAGCCTCTCCGCCGCTAGCCCGATCCGCTTCCATTCCTGATTCCTGCGCAGTCAGCAGTCAGCAGCTGCCTTTGCCGGCAATGCGGTTATCATTGCGCCATAAAAAATGCTGATGTAGAAATAAATGTACGTAATTCCATTCCGGTTTTGTGCGCGAGACTGCGGCTGACTGGGGCACAGGCTGTGCATAATTTTTGGCGTTCCGCCTGCCAGTCATGAAAGCCATTGAAGGCCCTTTGCATACATTAGCATCTGCGCGGGGCTTTAATTAGTTTTACTTGTTTATGCTAATAACTGTCAGGCGCAAGGTAGGACGGAGCACGGAAGTTGGAAGGCCCGCGTCCTGGCCGTAAATCTGATTAGACGTCTTCTGCTAGTGCCACGGGTGGTGGTGGTGGTGGTGTCCTTTTGTCAAGCGCCATTGCGGTAATGCACAATGTAATTGAGTTTTTATTGCCGCACTTAACGCTGCAGTAATCGCATTGCCCATACGCAGCGTTGGCCGCACGCAGCCGCAGGCGCAGCCACAGCTGGAAATTGCAACGCATTAAGCACCATTAGAACTCGCCACTGGCAACTATCCAGTTGTATTCAGGGCCTCCAGTTCAGTATCCATTTTGATTTATTGATGCTTGAAACTGGCACTAATTGAGTGCCCGTCCGATTCTGATTCCCATTCCGCTGCAGATATGCGAGTTCAAAGTGAACAAGGCGTACGCCATAGTCAGCTCGTCGATGAGCTTCTGGATACCCGGCATCGTGATGCTGTCCATGTACTACCGCATTTACCAGGAGGCCGACCGTCAGGAGCGGCTGGTGTACAGGTAACGTAGCCACTCGAGTGGCCGTCGCGCTGGCCAATTATCGCTAATTACTTGTGTGTGCTTGGTAGATCCAAGGTGGCCGCCCTGCTGCTGGAGAAGCATCTCCAGATTAGCCAAATTCCCAAGCCGCGCCCGAGCATCCAGGTGGAGCAGTCAACCATAACGACGATGCGGCGGGAGAGGAAGGCCGCCCGCACCCTGGGCATCATAATGAGCGCCTTCCTCATCTGCTGGCTGCCCTTCTTCCTCTGGTGCGTATACTAATTGTAAATATATTTATAGTTTTTTGTAATATAAAACTATCGACTCAAGGGGTAAACACTATCTACCCATAAGTGCTTTACTTTTAAGACTACCAAAAGGAATTCTAGCTTTAAATTTAAGCATTCTTTTAATTTAATTTATTGCCAGGTACATCGTGTCCTCGCTGTGCGATAGCTGCATCACGCCCCGACTCCTGGTTGGCATCCTGTTTTGGATCGGCTACTTCAACTCGGCCCTGAACCCCATTATTTATGCGTACTTCAATCGCGACTTCAGGGCCGCCTTCAAGAAAACCCTCAAGGTAAGTTGCGGCTGGGCTGGGCTGCCAGCGAGGAGTAATTTGCATTTATTTCCAACTTCGACATCTTGATGGGACTCTTATTCTATTCAATTCGATTCCGCTTTAATTGGGCATCCGAAAACTGAATTCCCTGCACCGTCTTAGACTTAGTTAAGGGCTTCGGCGAGGGCTGCCATCGCCAAGGATCGGGCAATGCATTGCACAGCAGCGGCAGCAACAATAGCAACAGTAACTGCAACTGCAACTGGCGAGACAACCGCAGCCACAGCAGCGCCCACACGAAGAGGCTCACGTTTAGCAATTATTTTGGTAGCTATTTGTAGTAGCATTGGGGCACAGACAAAGAATAAATGATCAATATATCACTATTAATCCTATCCTTGAAACCAATAAGTTTTCAGAAAAGTTTTAAAAGAGCAATTTTAAAGCAAGTTTATCGTTAGAAGTATTTAAGCCTAGTTCGGAGACATTATCTTTAACCAAAATGATCGTAAGCTTTTGCTACGAAAAGAAACTCATAAATATATTTGTTATATTATTGTTTAAATCGAAAGTAGGAAATAATGTTTTAAATATTGATTTTTGAATACTAAAGAAATGCATTAAAGACTCAGAGATACTAATTAGTGGACGTGATAATTATGTTCTTTCTCTGTGCAGCCAGTGCCTGGTGGAAAGTGTAGAGCCCGTAGCGGTTATACTTTTTAGCTGATTGAAAATGCTTCTACTTCTGGTTGCTAAGCAAGAAAAATAGCTTTTCCTCTGCCTGAAGAACTGGAAACTGTGCACGTTCTCTGCTCTTCTGCCTGCTTTCTCTGCCTCTATCTCTTTCTCTCTAGCTAAATCACTGCTTTCACTCTTTCTCCTTCATCGCTTGGAGACCTTCTGTCTTGGGGGTGAATTGGTAGTGAAATGGGTCCTGGTCTGGCTTTCTAATCGTTTGAACATTTTGCTTACCACTTGCCTTTTACCACTTGCCACATACTACATAGTACTGCCATCTACCATCTCTTCCATCTCTTCCACGCACAGCTGGCGCTTTCCTTGCTGATTCGTTGCCTCTGGCCCAGCACGGGCTAAGCGCGCCAAAGTATGCAACAGAAAGCCTAAAACGAAATGTAATATTTAAATTAAAACAGAACCCTCTGCCCTACTCCGATCTACTCTACTCTGCTCTGCTCTGTATATACATATGCGTATGCGAATGCTCACCCGCACACTCGCACAACAACACCTGCTCTACACAAGCGTATATTGCGATGATGAAATGTTATTTTTTCTCTAAAAATTCTCCCTTTTATGCTGCACACTTTGACACAACACCACGACACACTCACACTCCCACCCACATGGACTGGTCCTTTTTTTATACGTATGTATGTGCGGCGGCCTTTCATTTCGTTTAGCATTTTTTTGTTCCTTTTTCGCCCCTTTGTTTTGTTGGGTTTTCCTTTTGTTTTTGTGTGTGAAACCAAATTGTCACAGCCATGTGCCGCCGCCACCCAAGCTCCTGCCTCCCGCCTTCCCCCAGTCTAACCACCCCTCGTGGACTGTCCCACGCGTCGTATGCTTAACCTTTGAGTGCTGTACAGTAGCTGCTAGCAAGCCAAGTCTATTAAATTATATAGCGTACTCCAACTGAAATATGCGAGCCATGAAATATACGAACTCTATCCGCATCTCATTATATCTAATAGCTTTTTTTTCTTTCCCCACACACAGAGCCTCTTTCCCTACCCGTTCTCCTTCTGCCGCCGCGGCGGGGGACGGGACGATGACCGGGACTTGGAATTCGGCGGCCCGAGCCGGAGGGGAACGAATGGAGCCCGGGCTGGGTCCGGATCGGCCGAGATGCCCAACTGCGTCAACTCCACGGCCTCGTCCGAGATTCACATGAGCGTGATGCGCGCCCGTCAATATGCCGCTACGCCCACCACGGATGCCCAGATGCAGCAGCTGCATCCACTGTACACCAACTAAGGGGGCGTATACTTGATTTCAGCTGCAGTGCTTCATTGATGTGCGTGTCCCCCCCCCCGCCCACAACCGGCCAGATTAAAAAGAGATATCTCAACAACACTCACCCACTCGCCCACTCACGCCGGCTGAAAGCCGAAAGCTGAAAGAATTTGAGCACGAATAATAGCCACAGCAACCACAACAAAACGACAATCCCACAGATTAAAGAAAGCCTTCGAGAGCAAAAAATTGACGTGCAAAAAGAATTGAAATACAAATGGAAATGGAAATGGAAATATATTCCGATGGCATAAATATTTAGTATGTGTCACGGATAGGATGGAGTCGGGAGTTCCACAAAATAATCGATTGACATTTAGAGGGAGAGGTTTATAAATGCGAAATGCAGCTAATATATATGTACAACATAATATTGAATGTTTGATATACGTATTTAATGCTAGATGTTATCCTATGAAATACGACATGCACATAATACTTGATTTCCAGCTCTAATTTCGTTTCTCATTTCTCTAAGAAGTGTTTGTCATTAAAATAATCTTGTTCACTAGGCTAAAACCAACTATATATATATATATATATATATACATGTGTCATATAGCATAGCCGATTAATGAAGAGTTCCGCTCATATAAACTTTAAACGTAGAGCCTAGCGCACGACTAACATATCCATTGGGTCTATTAGCCACATATTAGCCGCCGCCTCCAGTTTCCCGACTCAAAGTCTCTCACTGTTGCTGTAGCGGAATGCCGATGCTATATATTATATACGAACTATACCTGTGTAGCCAAGTACCTTTAACCTTTAACCAGATGCAACTGACACTCATGAAACTGTTTTGCCAAGTGCCACTAACTCCTATGAAGCTACTTTCTTGCTTGGACAATCTTGAAGCCCCAATCTTAAACTAAAATCGGTTTAGTTTCTCCTTCGACTCAAAGGAGCAGAACTTGCGAATTTGTTAAAAAGCAGTAGGAGAGATACAATCGCAGTAACTGCCACGCCCGCGCCGAATTTGTCACCGCCGCCGCCCCATAAATCAAAGGGAGTTCAGTGTGTTCAGCTGGCTAAAATTGTTTTTGCCAAAAAAAAAATATCAAATCGCTGCAAATATATACACCTATATATATAAACGACATGCATACAACGCCGACTTTGTCTTACGATTCATAGTCATTATTTAAAGCGCCGGCTTAAGAGCTCACCGTCGTCGACAAATGGGCATAGTGCCATCTTCCCTCGACTACCCTCCTTGTCCGGCCCGTGGGCATGTCAATATTTGCTTTATTTAACTCTCGGCGCTTTGTTTAAACTGCGGAACGCCCACGAAAAAAGTTAACAGTCAGCAGCAGCAGCAGCAGCGGCGTTGATAACGTTTGAAATGTAGCCAAATATTGTTAACTAAATTAAGCCCAAAGCTTTCCACTCAAGTGCAAACTGCGCCATGCCCTTTCCCAGTTCAACGCTTTTCCTTTTTCCTAAATTAAAAATAATTTGGAAGTATTTATTTTTAATTTTATACAAATACAAGTGCGGGTATTTTCTTTGTTTACCCAAGTGCTGAAGGGGCGGACAGGTGCATTGCACTTTCGAAGAAGGTGCCAGCTCAACAAGGAAGTACAAAATATACGCAAGTATCTTTTTGTTGACATCCGAAAATTAAGAATTCCGATTGCTGTCAAGAGATAGCAATTTACCCTCTATACCCTGTACTTTCTAGGGTATTCTAAGCACTCTGTCCGCCCCGAAAAGCGTGGCACGTGTCCGTGTAGAGCACCATAATAATCTGTTCAAAGCAGCAACCGCAATAAAAGCCATAAATAACAGAAAATACGATTTGGTTAAACAGCAAATTGGCATGTCAACTGACGGGGTGAGCATGTGACACTTAAATGAGAAAACCAAAAAAAAAAAAAAAAAAAAACCCAAAAAGATCGCGTAAACGCCGAAAAGTAAATAATTAAATTATGGCAATTTGTGTAGAGCTCCGACGGCGATTACAGTCGCTGGAAAAGGTATGCTGGCCAGTCACTCCATGATGCAATCCCAGATAAGCTGGCGAATTTCACACATCCAGCCTCCTCCACACACCCTTGGGACAGCGACAATGACTTGTGAGACTACTTCTGCCAGCGACTGTATTCAGACTGAAACGTTTTATGTCCCTACGTTTATTGCCAATCAAAGGAGATACAGTGTACCTATGGCCAGTATATGGTTTAATCCATATCAGAACGCGGCTCAATGTTCAAATTAAACGAAATTAATATCGCTCGCAATTAAATTAAATGTCCAACGCCGAGCTGAGGCTTATTTTGTAACAAAACTACAAAACTGAGTGTCTATTAGTAATGGTAGTCGAATAATTGTTATGTAATGTATGTATTATGTATGTGAATAGTTGGAAAGAATTCATTATTGGAAAGCTAACAAAAAAGCAAAGAGAATTTTAAAAGCAGACCACATTAAAATAATTACAACCAAATGCGAAATTCATGTACTCATTCGGCCAGGTGGCATTAAATATGAACAGCAAATACTAACAAGGTGACAGCGGGAGAGGAAATGTTAATTAACTTGTGAAAAATATTTACAAAGCGGCACACAGTCAGTTTTAGCACGAGTCCTGTGGTCGATTGTCGGTCAATTTCGGAATTGTACTCAGTGTGTGTACCTTCCGCGTTTCACGAGCAACCAGATTAGGCGAAAGAAACCCCTCGACTTAAGTAAGTGTTAACGTTAACATGTGCGTTTTTCAGTGGAAACTATATTAAATTATACAGATATATTTATTATACAAAGGTATATGTTTACGGTGTATGTATGCATGTATTGTATATAGTATCTCGATACATATAAATTAATGAAATGAAGCAATTACAATCGTATGGAATAAAAGTAAAGGTAATAATAAAAAGGTTCAAGACATCGGATGTGCGTTGGCTTTTCATTTTTATTCTCACTTCCCACTCCCACTTCCATGTCCACAGCGAACTTCATTCATTCCGGTTCAGGTAGAGATGCGATGGATGATGGCTCGACGGATTCTAGCGCGTGGCTTTCTGCCGCCGTTATGAGTGACCGTTATTGCTGTACGTATCTCTAAACTTTTTCTGTATCAACTGATATGCATTGTAGACTCTGTGAAATTTACGGCCACCAATTATCGTCGGCGATAAGCACAAAGAAAAATAAAAATAAACAAAGAGCGAGTTAGCACAGGAAACGTGATTAGGGCCAGCCAAACTCACCTTTCTTTCGCCGCCTTGAAGGACTTCTTGCGCTGCTTCAGACACGCCTTGTCCTGGGCCGCATCCGGATTGGGCAGATCGTTGGGCGATATCATCGTTATGTTATCCGGATGGCAGAAGAACGCTATCGAGTGCCGACCGCGGGCCCGAATGTGTTCCTGTTCAGGAATAACGACGCGGTGTTGCTGTTGGAGCGGAAATTTATAAATAGATGAGTTGGAATTTCACTAAAAATTAAGTTGCTGAGTACTCACCAATGCGGGATAGCGCTCCTGTGTCCAAATATTCAAGATCTGGCCGCAGTTGACGAGTATGGAGCCGGGCAGGTGGCCCACGCGATTCCACTTTTCACTGCCGGGCAGCTTCACCTCCAGCCCGCCCTCCGAGTCCTGGGCCAGCAGGGTGAAGGTGCCATAGTCGACGTGGGCAGGGCAGTGGATAACCGCGCCGTTGCCCAGCTTGTGCTCAAAGAGCTGGCCATTGGGGCCATCGACCTCGTTGAGGTCGTCTTCGTCGCGGGGATTGTGTTCCGGCCGGAAGTCCGGCTGGTTGGACAGGCAGCGCTGATAGCTGTACTGGCAACGACCCTTGATCACGTCGTTCTGGCCGGGCTCGTCGTCCACCACCGGCGGGTAGTAGAGCATGCGCAGGGAGCTCATGTTGTCGTGGTCGCCGGACAGCATGTGCGAGTGCTTTTCGAGGAAGAAGGTGTTGGGAATGTCCAGCGAGACGGCCATTGCCTGTAAGATGAAGCTGGCCAGCGCCTTAAAGTCCGTGGCCAGTGTGCTGATGTGGTCCGCGAAACCGGGCAGCGGCTCCTCCGGCAGGTTCTGGGCGTTCAGTGTGCTGATATTGAAGGCGTGGCGCAGCTCCGGTGCCTTGCCATCGAAGCGCGGCTGGCCGCGACTCACATATCCGTGTTTGTCCCCGTCTGTGCGAATATAGTGCTGTTTGACTTCAGGCGCGAGGTCCACGAAGTCATCCAAATGATCCCACGCAGTCTTGAGCTGTTTCACAAAAGCAGAGGGTAAGTAGGCCATGAGTTAGATGTCTTTAAATAATATTTTTGAAGAACTTTTTATGCTAATCCCATAAATTTTAACTAATGAATATTGAGAACTATCGGGATTAAACCAGAAATATGCAGAAAAGTTCCACCAAAATAAATTTGGTATATATTTATTTTCTATTTATTGGATATACATATACAAATCCTACTTTATATATAATTTATTCCCATTTAATTTAAATGCCTCTTAACTTGTTCTTAACAAGGAATTTCAAGCTTACCTTCTCGTCTGAAATGCCATGGTTGACCAGCAGGGCCATGCCCTTCTCGGAGAGGGCCTTCTTCAGCTGGTGACCCACACGGTTGACCACCGACTTGACCGGCACCTCCTCAATGCCTGAAACGAAATGTTGATACGAGAATGAATTAGTGGGCGTGGGAATAACCAGAGGAACTGCCACTTAATCGCTAATTGTTTTGTGGTCGCTGTTTTATGGCTTCTTGGAAATGTTTTTCCACCTGGCCAGCGGTGGAGCTGTGGTCCCCCATAAATGAGTATTGCCCGTATTTATGGTAGATTGTATATATGTACGCTCTCTATACTACTAACGCCAATAAATAGCTGGCTCTCGAGCACTTGGACGTTGATTTGAATGTCAGGGCCCATTGAGAAGTGTGGCTAAGCGTCCACGTGCCGCTGACATACTCGCAGGTGAGATAATCAGCCACTTGGAATCTCGAATAAGCCGCATTCGCACTCAGCAACGGGAAGGGCGAGCTCGATAGACGCTCGTAATTTGCCATACCGAATGCAATAAAGGTAAATGCAATCAATTTCAATGCGATGGCATCGTCGATAATGGCCGCGGCATTGACAATGCACGGCGGAAAATTAAATAGAGAATGCGAGGAAAAACCGCAGCGGAAGTCGCGCCGCAAGGAGGGGGTTCCACCCCGCCTCGCATTCGACCCAAGTACACAGTTCTTCTTTTGTCTGGAAGGGAAGAGCGCCCTTGCTGTCGCCCTGACAGATATCGGATGACCGGGAATTTCCCTTGGTTGCTAATGTGATCACTTACTCATCGCGAGAGAGACAAGTCATGAATGAAAGCAAAGTAATTATATTTTCCGCCCCAGTCCGCGGTGTCACACCGGGCGAATGCGCTATCTATAAATAGGTTTCCCTGGGCTCTACTGGAAATTACTGCTGCCTGCCCTCAGCTCCCGATTGGGACAGTGACGCACTGCAGCGCTGCCTGATAAGGTTTCCTTCAATTCAGAATTTCACAGTTAATAACAATTACGTTTTCGCAGCTCTTATCATTCCGGGTAGCTTTGTCGCCAGGCGGCGGCAATCGTCAGGCCTTTAAAATTATTCACAAATGAAGATGGAGATGGCAGATGATGATGTAGGGAATCATGATGATGAGGCGCCGGCGGCAGAGAGAGAGGTCAGTCGGGCGAATTGAATGATTCTAATTGACGCCAGGCCGGGGATCGAATCGGATCGGTGGATCGTCATATCGCCTTTCGTTTTCATTAGGCATCGGTCCAGTTTTATTTGTGTTTTGCCCGTTTTCCGTGTTGTTTGCATGCAATTCAATTAGTCGACAATTGGGATGCGAGTCGCCTTTCAATTTGCCAGTTTTGCCAGCCAGCTGAAAAACAGCGCCACATGCCAGCGAGTAGTTAGTGCTAACTTGTCGCTAATTTAGCTAATTGAGTCAGGGTATTTCAGTTGAATCAGTCGGTAGAAGTAGAAACATCCCATGGCCGAAGATCATCTCGACTCGCCTCGCCTTGCTGCCTGCCACTGCGCAGAATTTCTCGATGTCTCGATTGGGTTTTCCTCTCTTTCTTTTTCTATTTTATTTGGTTGGCACTGTGTTCTGTTTACTGTACAAGTTTATCGCTGAAATTGATTGGCTTTTATGCATTTATGGTCGGAACATAAATGGCGGGCACGCGTTGAGCATTCCCATTGTGTGCTTTCAGCGCCATTTGACTCTGTGTATTTACAATTTAATTGCGATGGCCGCCTGAACTCTCAGTTCAGTATATTTTGCTTTGGAATAACCCCTTAAACATAATCCGCAAATAGATTCCAATTCGCCACTTGAGTTTCTCGCATGGATTAACTCAAATCAATATTTATAGACCTATTTGTGCCCGTATATATGTACATCCATATGCTATTTGGCAATTTAGTTGCGGAATTTCGCCGAGAAATATGGCCGTGCAGTATAATTTATTTATAGAAAGCCGAACTGCGATCATTGGAAAGTGGTTTGAATTGGGGGAAGCGCGCTTTGCAGATGTCGGGCTAATGGAAAAATAATTTTAATGGCATTGAGGCATCCGGAGTCAACGACATCCCCCATGCAGAACAATGCGAGTTATCATCTATCTTAGGGGAGGTGTGAACTGCCTGAAGGCTGCATTCTTGTTTGGCCAGCTGTCAGTTTAGAGCGAGAACTTAATTCGCGCTTTCTGCCTGCATTAACAACATATTTCTGTGTCAATTACCTGACGGGGTCAGGTGAAATCCGCCTGGCAATTTCTATTTCCAGCCAGCCAAGCCGAGCCACAAGAGAGGTGGCCATTAAACAAAGCGCCTGGCATGTCGAGAATCAACAGGTTTAAGCTGGTTTCAATCGGTTCAACCGGAGAGCCCAACTACTTAGCATGCTGGCTATACCCCTCGCTTTTTTGGTAGTATCTGCTGGCTGGCGTTACGACTGGTGTTTGTGTTGTCTTTCCGAGTCGAACGCGACGAGGTGAGGCCCGGCGATGACGCCGGGGGATTCACTAACCAGATGCGTCATGAGGCTCGTCTCCGAACTGGTAACTGGTAACTGGCAACTGGCAAACAGGCAAGTGTCGAACGGCAGTGAGCAAATAAGGCTGCAACCACTAAGCAAATGACGCTTGAGAATCGCAGTCGCTGTGCAAACAGAATCAGGTTTCGTAACTCAAACAAGCGTTAATGTTCCGATGCGTTTCTGTTTGAGTTTCCGCACTACACTATGGCGGTGGTGGCATTGCGTATCAAAACATTCCACAAATGCCACGATTTCCACTGCCATATAGTTCAAAAACCTCTCCACCTCGGAACCGACAATAAAAACACAACAAAATAAAACAAAAAGTAAACACAAGCAAGAAAAAAATAACCAATTGAAGTTCCGTTGACACAAAAATGCCGCAAGGCAGCGATTTAATTGCTTCTAGCTGCTTTGGGGGTCAATGGCTCTGCCGCTTGAGAGAGTGCTCCGCGAAGGTCAAGAGTGTTGCCCTCAAGGCCAAGCCTCACTGTATCCAACCCAGCCGAGCGCACTGGGTGAGGTGAGCCCGAGGCCCAACTTACGGCCAGATAAGCGTACATTTCCATTACTGCGGGGAAACTGTGTCACGTATCGGCAAAGACCCAGTTAACGCACGGGCACGGCTCCAGCTCCGAAATGCCTCCAAAATGGGTAAATGGAAAATTTTTATTTTGTTGTGGCCCCAAAAAAGGGCAAGCCGATGATGAAGCGCGGAAGAACAAACAAAGTCATAAAATCAGTAACCCTTGAATTGAGATGTATAAACCTCCAAGCTTCTGCGTATTTTGATAATCTGGCGTAAAGACAAACATAAACAAAGAGCAAATAAATAGCTACGAAATGCAGTAAGATAATGTGACTATTATGTATCTTAACTGCACTGCCTCAATCGGGAATTTCCGAGAATAACAGAGATACCAGAGCAGACAAGGGAATAGCTTTTTAGATTCACAAAGCAAGTAGAGAACGCTTTTTAATTTAAAATTCAATTAAAATTATAAATATTTATGTGTTTCGATATTGCACAATGTGGATCGATCGACATTTAGACTGGCATTATTAAATGCAATAAATATCTAACAATCTGTCTTGTTTACTATGCTCCACGGCATCTAATAATAGCAAGGTGTGAGTTAGAGAGCATTCATTGACAAGTTACTCATGTCCTATGTTTCCAAGAAATCACACAAAAGTACCAGGCAGTAACAGCGTGATACTTGCCGCTACGTAAATGTATGTACATACATAGTTCCATTAAAGCACTTTATAGATTAACTATCTACTCCCAATTAGTAAACTCTTTGCGAATATGATAAGAGTACATAAGACCTACGTCGTTCTTGAACAGATTTTCCGTAGCTGACTTCAAGATCGTTTTAACCATCGTTTTAATCATTGGCAGTCGCACGTGTAGAGATGCTGTCAGTTTGCACAAGTAAATAATTAGTTATACTTAATTGCGACGTAGTTGCAAAGCCACGAACAAATTAAGTAACTGCAATTAACTAAGGGAGCCCTGTCACACCTGAACGATCGAGCATAGTAAACCCAAAACAGAACTGTCGATGACTCAATGACGACTGCACTTAATTACACCCAGCTGACTGTGGAGTTTTTTAGCCTACACCGAAAAAAAACATGGCTAAAATACAGTTTATTAATCTCAATCTTAACAAGATTATATATGTACTTCAATATATAATATAATATGTTCCTATCACCATTAAATGGAATTCCCATAAATACATATCTATAAAAATTCAAAGAAAAACATTGCTATAAATATGATTTTTAAATTTTAGCAAATTTTTATAGCTTTTGCGAATTTTTCATATTTTTATTAATCGATGATTCATTGGATTCTTTAACTGCTCTTTAAATTTCTTATGAATTTTATACGAGTTGGTTAAGGTTAAGATTAATACCCATTGTAAAATATATGAGAATATTGCGATAATATAGAAACACTTTTATAAAAAATCCTTTGTTTAATTCAGGGACCGTAAATAATATGTTCCATTTTTTGAAATATAAAAATAAATTCCATTTATGATTTTCTTTTATTATCTTCAAAGATAATCATTAGATTTGATTTGGTAACTTATACTGATTACGGTCCCTGGTTTAAATGTATTTATTATAATAAAATGTGGCTAACGCTCTATTCAGCTTTAACCTTAACAAGTTCAAGAATAAAAACCTCTTACTTTTGGTAAGAGAAAGACAAAAATACACTTTAGCGGGAATTCCCAAGACGTTATCTGAACGTCAGTTTGTTAATGATAAGCAAACTTCTTCTGAACTCATAGGAACATACATATATTCCGTTCGGTTTGATAAATTCTTTAAAACGATAAATACCCCATTGGTTTTTATTTAAATTATTTTTTACTGTGCTTGAAATCTGTCTTTAAATCTGTAGCCTAGCAACCACAAGCAGCATGTGTGTTGGGACGTGAGCTGATGGATGGCGGTGGCTTCCATGTGGGGGATCGTACTTACCACAGTGGGCGAGATCGATGATCGGCACCACGCTGCGCGAGAGGAGTGTGTCTAGCTTGTCGTCGCTGTTCTTTGTTTTTATCATCTTGCCGGAGCGTACGGATTGGATTGGAGTGGACGCGGACGCGTACGTCTAAAGTTCTTTGGTTGCGATCGAAGGGGCGAAGAACACTCGCCGCACTTGTGCACGCTTTATCACAGACTTCGGCGGTCCGGAGACGAGGTGCACCACTTCCAGCGATGGCCGACGACTAAATGGAACTGAATGACAGACCGCACAGAACTCGATTATTATTATTGTTATTATGACGATGATTGGGTGCTATTCAGCGAATATCGAAAAAACAAACATTCGAATCGCACATCCGAGCGCTCTTTGTTTTTGTTTGGTTTCTCCTGCTTAGTTTATCGTATTTTGCTTTTGCCACGGCTATTGTTTTTGTTTGGATTGCGAGCGAGCGATCGCTGTGAGTGACAGCTGAAAACAGAGGGGCCGCGTGAGGGGAGCTACCGCCGACCCGAAATGCGAATTCAGAAATCCGAACGGCTGATTTGGCGATTGGGTCGATTTTTAGAAGGGCGCGTGTCGGACCAAATTGGCTACGATCGGCGCGCTTCTCTCGAGCGGACTAAGCGTTCCGTCTTGGTTCCGCGGGGTTCCGTTCCAAGTTCTGGGTTCTCAGGCTTATCGCACCTGACTGGCTATAGCGCTGCGTCAGTTTACGATTTTATTTTGCAAAACTGATTGCGAGCTAGGCACTGAGAGAGGGAGAGCGTACTCTCTGCAGGTGCGTCGCAATTAGATAAAATTTAATCAAATCAAAAATTGTGATAACTGAATTAGCACTTGACGTTCTCGCGGGGGGATCGGTAACCGTACTCACTGGGCCCGCAGTACGTGCGTATGTACATCCCCAGAGCAAAGGTGAGACTAGCCGAAGAGCCAGACGTTTCCAGTCGGTCTCTCGGTTTGCTTTTGCAATATTTGCCATGCCCATTAACGTGGCCGTGGCTCAGGTAGCTCCGCGTATCTATGTGTGTGTGCGCGCAGATACAGATACTCTGCTTGAATCTGTATCTGACGGATCCCGTTTACCGTTTCGCCTCAGGTGTGAGCCCTGCTGCTGCTGCTGGCTGTCTTTTCACCCCTTGAGCAACCAGCTGAGCGAGCGAGCTGTTGCCAGGCGGCTGCAAAGTCGCCAGATGAGCAAAGTCTGGCTCGTCCATCTGCATGCAAACACAGGGGCGCAGGGTCCACGGGTCTTGGAAGGGACAGAAGTGAGCCAGTAGTAGGGGCTGGGAGTGAGTAAGCGCTTGCCGCGGTGGCGTGAAGTTTCCATTTCGCCTCGCCTTTCGTGGCAAAAACAAAATACGTGCGAATGTATATATGTATCTATGTATCTATGTATCTATGTATCTATGTGCATATAGCAACACACTGGAAACTATTATTAACTTGAAGCCGGAGTCTATTCAGCTGAAATTGTGATTTACACCGCTGCTGTTTCGCGGGGCGTTTGCTTACAGTGAAAACTCGCTTTCTTTTTTCGCACAGGTTTCGCTTTTCATCGAACTCGACTCGAACTCGACCCGACCACGACGACAGCACAAAAGTTGGCCAACAATCTACTTAGTCAATTTCTGTATCTCTTTCTGATGCCTTTTTTGCACACTTTCCATCATTTTGTAACACACTCGCGAATTTAACCTAGATACACCTGAGTGCAGAGAGGAACAGCGTCTGTCTCGATCGGTCTCAAAACTATAAAGAGAAATTCGAAAAATGCTGATATCAAAGTGGTCGATAGCTCTGATGATGAATGGTGGGAAACTTTGCTAGAGAAACGTCTTACGTTGTCTTACGTCGGAAAATAACGATTTCGATCAGGCTACGTTGTTCGAAACGTAGCCTGATCGAAATCGTTATTTTCCGACGTAAGACAACGTAAGACAAGTGGGGGAGGCGAACTTAAAACCCCGATACAACGCCTGATAGCAAAAAAAAAATATATATATTTTATATTCTAATTAAAAATAAAACGTATTTAAACAGTTTAAATGTACCACAAAATATCTACATCGAAACCGATCGCACTCGCACTAGCTGATGTCGAAACTATCGATGTTGGGTTCTGCACTACGATACGATACGATCATAACCAATCGACCGTTAGCATTTCCATTTTAAAATAGAAATCTTTCATCAAAACTCAGGTACTCATGGAGCACAGTTTCAAAAAAATTAGACTTAGAATTCAAATATTATCCTACTGCCATAAAAGAAGATCGAAAAAACTGAAAACAAGTTTCTAATAAATACAAATTTAGTAAGTTCTTATACTTAGGAGACAAACTAACTAAAACATTTCTGTAAAATCAAATTAAGATTTGTAAACAGTTGTAAAAATTCCTACTTAATTGTAGCAATAACTATTGAATTATTTGAGAACGGGTTGAACCATCAATTCTAATCATTTGAGCTCAAATGACTCAATTCACGGGAATTTTTTATTTTAAGCGATAAGAACATGGTGCTATTTGAATTTTTTTCGACAATAAATACACTTCAACATTTCCCCTTAATTCAGTCCATTGTTTTAGTGGAACCGAACAAGAGCAATGCGTGGGCCTTTTCTATTCCTGTTGAATTTCCTTGTCCTACATGCGGACAATGTCCAGGCGTCTTTCTCCAACGAGGATGATCAGGAGCACACCCCGTACATGAGGCAGCTGTTCCGTCTAGCAAAGGCCGCCGAGATCAAGAGCTTTATGAACACGACGGCCGATCCGTGTAGCAACTTTTACGAGTTCGCCTGCGGTAACTATAAGTACATCAACCCGGCCAGAGCTTTGGAGGTGGTCAGCACAGGGTCGATTGAAACCTTGCAAAAGGGCTTCAAGCGGAAACTTCAGGAGATGCTAAGCACGCCGCAACATGGTCACGACACTCCGGAGGACGTCCAGGTGAAGCGCTTCTACGAATCATGTACGCGGCTTACGTTCAACACATTCGAGCAGCAGCTCAAGGAGCTGATTTCCGAGTTCGGCTCGATGCCAGTGCTCGTGGGAAACTTTTGGCGGGAGGAGGACTTCCACTGGCTGGAAACCTCTGGGCGCATCGGTCACCGCTACGGAGTAAGCGCAATCATAGAAGCATTGAGTTCGGATGAGGGAACGGCAGTTCTAAGTCCGCCCAAGTTCATTCTGGAGCCTCCAGCGGATTACATGAGGGAACGGGATCGGATCGCGGTCATCTTAAAGCGTAATTTGGGCGTTGAAAGCAGACTGGCTGAGCAAACGGCTCGGGAGCTGCTGGAGTTTGAAGAGACCCTGGGTCGGATGCCAGAGGACGGGAAAAGTCAAGTTAAAGCATTTCGAGTAGAAGAAGAGCACCAACCCCTCTTGGATGTGCATCGCTTGTTAAATGTCACGTTTGTCGGGGTGCAGACTATTCTCGTGGAAAACTTGGCGTACACTCGACACCTGAATGAAGTAATCAAAAACTTTCCTCAGCGGACTGTGGCGAACTACATATTCTATTATCTGGTTAAAAACTTTCTCGACTTTCCATGGCGTACTTCCCCGAACTTGAAAAAGGAGTGCGTGGATTTAACCAGAAAGCACATTCCCAGGAGCTTGGACAACATGTTCTATCGACGACACAAGAAGGCAGCCTCTGATATAAGGGACATTTGGCACCAGATCAAGGACGCATTCAACAGGACCCTTTTTAGCCCGCACCTGAATTGGATCCAAAATTCAACACAAAAGACTGCCTACGCCAAGCTGCAGAAAATGACGCTAAATCTACTAAACTATGAGGCGATCAACTTCACCCAGAAGTTCGAGGGGCTCAACCTCACCAGCTCCAACTACTTTGAGAATCTCAGACGCGTTAAGCAGATTTTGGCTGTGCGGCGAACTTCAGACAAAATCCTTGACAGTTACTACTCTCCGGCATATATATTGTTTCATAACAAAATTAATATGCCGGTGGCCTACCTGCAGCGGTACTATTTCTGGGCCGATGCGTATCCCAAGGCCCTCAAGTTTGGCACATTAGGTTTTTTTATAGGGCATGAGCTTGTCCATGGATTTAGCAGCGATGGTCTTGGGTACCTTGATGGCGATACTTACAATTGGTGGGATCGACGATCCCATAAGAATTACATGGAGCGGGAAGTTTGCTACAAAAAGCAGTACGGGGGTTATCCAGATATGGAGACCACTGATCAGACCGAGAATATCGCTGACAACGGAGGCTTAAGTCTCGCCTTAGCCGCCTACAAAGAGTGGTCTGAGAGGCAGAAAAAGGTGGATGGCACCAGAATACACCTGGAAAACGAGCAATTGCCGAGCTTGAACTTTACCTCGAAGCAGTTGTTCTTCCTCAGCTTTGCTCAGAAGCTTTGCCAGGACATAGATTATGCTTCACTGGCAGTGCCTTTGACTTCCGAGCTACATGCGTCAGGATACATACGAGTTATTGGTACCTTATCCAACCTCGATGAGTTCTCACAAGAATTTAACTGCTCTAAAGGTTCCTCGATGAATCCCAAGCAAAAGTGTACAATTTACTAGATGCTATATGTTATACTAGTTTATTAAAAGCTCTCTGGCGTAATTTCTCAAACTCTTATTAAAGAGATCCAGTAAACGGCTAATGTCCGAGATTCACTGATTTATTTCGAGCGGCCTCCGTAGGTGTCATTGAACTTTTGCTGTATCAACTCGTAGGCGCTGTAAACTCTATATTCATACCGAATAAAAGCAAAAATTCATTAAAAAAGTCGTTAGAAAAGGGCTTATCTCTTACTTGTCGTCAGTCTGTTCCGCGTCTTCGGAGAGATCGTTGGGAGCTATCATTGTTGAGTTGTTGGGATGACAGAAAAAGGCGATGGAATGCCTGCCACGAGTGCGCACATGATCCTGTTCGGGTATAACAACGCGGTGTGGCTGGAAAGAGTAATGAACATCAGATGAGAGGATTCGACGCGATTAAAGGTAAGCCTACCAAGGCGTGATAGCGCTTCCTCGTCCAAATAGACAGGAGCTCGCCGCCGTTAATGAGAATGGCTCCTGGCAGATGGCCCACGCGTTCCCACTTCTCGCTGCCCGGTAGTTGCACCTCCAAGCCACCCTCCGAGTCCTGGGCGAGAAGGGTGAAGGTGCCATAGTCCACATGGGCCCCGCATCGAATGGCGCCCTCGCTCTGACCCGGCTCGTCGTCCACGATCGCCGGATAATAAAGCATCCTCAGGGTGCTCATGTTGACATCATCCCCAGTCAGCATTTGGGAGTGCTTATCCACAAAGTAGGCGGCAGGAATCTCCAAGGCCGCCTCCATGGCCTTGAGTATATAAGTGGACATGGCTTTCAGGTCATTAGCTAGTGTGGTAATGTCATCTGCAAAATCTGGAAGCGGTTCCTTCGGAATATTTCTATCATCGAGTTGGCAAATATTGAAGGCATGTCGAAGTTCTGTTGTCTTTTTGTCGAACCGCTCTACTCTGGGACTAACGTATCCTGAATTTCCGCCATCCTTTCGTCGGTAGCGATCCTGAACCTCAGCCGGGAGATCCAAGAAATTGTCAAATTGATCCCAGACATTTTTTATCTAAGCAAGGGAATAAAAATTGGGTAGACATAACCTTTAAGATGGGAATATGTAAGCCGAACTTACCTTCTCTTCGGAAATCCCATGATTCACAAGGAAAGCAATTCCCTTTTCAGTGAAAGCCTTGTGCAGTTGCTGGCCCACACGGTTCACTAGGGACTTGCCTACAATTGAGATCATTAATTATAAAAATTAAAAGTTTATAAAGGTTGGATATATGTATGCTCGTTTGGGAACCTTTGACATAATGCGATTTCCTATGAATATATTCTTTTGCAGAGCTTTTCCTATTAAACTATATAATCAATCTTATACCTAGACAACATGTGGCTGCTGCACGCCCAGGGGTTCATCTATATCGAGGACACTTGGCGTTGGTACAAGCTTAATTTATTGAAAAGACTTTTATATTCTCAGGCGGAGTGAATACAGAGGCGAAGGAAAGACAGTCTTTCCAACAACTAGAGGGCATAACTCTTCAAATTTGGAACAATGTAGGCATCAGCTTCACTAAGCTATTGGATGGGCTGGATCTGCGACAACAAAGCTGTGTCCAACTTCCACTTTTCTAGCTCCTTTCCTACATTCCTTGTATTGATAATCCCGATTCCCAGTATAAAGTCCTCACTATAAAAGGTGAACATTTTTGTAAAATGCAAATATACCGATTACAGGCACTGTTCATAAAACGATCTTTATGGTTTTCATTGACCTTTCCCATTAAATTATACTTATTTAATTGAAAGCGGGAGCGGTGAGGGAACTTACCACAATGGGCGAGATCGATGATCGGCACAGCGCTGCGTGACACTAGCGTCTGGAGTTTGTCGTCTCTTATCTTCGTATTTATCATTCTTAACAAACAACGGTCGGGAGGTAAATCAACAACAAATCGAGATTGTGCCTAAAAATGATTATTATCTGCGAGCTGCGGCGATTACGATGCGGGCGCGGCACTGTTCTCGAGAAGACTGGTCATTTGTGACCCGGAATATGCCTCTTTATGTACTCTTGCTTGGTTCTTATCTTGTCATGAATGTCGTAAATGTTTAATGCTATATACTTTTGGGGTTTTTAAAATACATGTAAGTAATAAGTAAATATAAAAAGGCAGATCAATTTACAGCATAGTTTAAACTAAAATAAGCTTATATTATATATCGAGAAAAATCTACTGGGGTAAGGATGTATTATTATATTATAAACTTGAGTTGAACTCTAAGAGTAATTATGGCCATAAGCTCCTTTCGCCAAAGCCATAGTTATATCATATGCATTATATATTCTGAAAAAGAAAAGATAACAAACCTTAGTGATATGTAAAAATACTTCGTATTAATTTACAAAATTTACTCACACTTCATTTTTCGAATCAATATGTAAGTCTCTCGAATCAATCAGCGTTGAGCTATCGGGATGACAAAAATAGGCCATGGAGTGACGGCCCCGATGGCGAGTGTCCTTCTGCTCAGGAACCACCACTCGATGTTGCTAGAATTAAGTGAAATCAATTAAAACTAACATTAAACCTAATAAATTCTCCTTAAGTACCAAAGCATGATAGAGCTGATTAGTCCACGAGGCCATGGTTTCGCCACAATTGATAAAAAGTGCTCCCGGCAGATGACCAACCCTCTCCCACTGATCGCTGCCACGCAGCTTCACCTCCAACCCTCCCTCCGAATCCTGGGAGAGAAGGGTGAAGGTGCAGTAATCGGCGTGGGCTCCACAGCGAACAATGTCTTTAGAACTTATGTCCTCCACCGGCGGGTAGTAGAGCATCCGCAGGGTGGTCAGATTAAAGCGATCGTCGGACAACATGTACGAGTGCTTGTCGATGAAGAATGACTCCGGAGCACCTAGGGACAGGGCCAGAACCTGAAGGATAAACCTACCGAGGGCATTGAAGTCATCGGTCAGGGAGTTAATATGCTCCGTAAATCCTGGGAATTGCTTTTCTGGTAAAAAATCCCGACCCAGCTTGCAGATATTGTACGCATGCCGCAGTTCCGGGGTCCTTCCATCGAATCGCTCCATTCCGGGACTCACATAACCGTGGTTTTCCCCATCCGGAGCCTTGGTGCGTTCGTAGGTTGCCTTAACCTCATCTGGCAAGTCCACAAATCCATCGAAATAGTCCCAGGCAGTCTTGATCTAAGAAGACCATTTACTTGGGGTTCAAACTCGGGAACTGTCTAAACTACTTTACCTTTTTATTCGAAATTCCGTGGTTTATGAGCAAAGCATAGCCCTGCTCTGACAGAGCCTTCCTTAGCTTTTGGGCCACGGCATCAGCCACGCCATCAACGCAGTTCTCCAGATCCACAATCGGAACGGCGTTTCGGGAGAGCAGCGTTTTAAGTTCAGCTTCCATTACTGTTTTGAGACGAACAAAGCGGCTTATCAATGAAGCTTATCAAGTTCAATTGTTGTTTTCCCATGTGCAGCCAAAACCAGACTAACCGACAACACAGTGAATCGAATCTAAATAAACAAGAAAATGAGAGTACTTTGAATTCCATAGAATACTTTTTGGTGGTGTCATAATTGGTAAGATGTAAGTAAAGTTATATACTATACATTTTATTACTTCAAAGAGGGTATTTGTAAATCCCAAAACCTCAAATATTGAAGTTCATTTTTAATACTTTTCACGTGCTGGGTACTTATAGTTCGTACAGAAGAAAACCCAAGTAAATAAAGGCAGATTTCCATAGTTTACCTAATGAATCGTTTGTTTATTGTTCGCAAATAAAATATACAAGATTACATTGCATCATAAAGTGGGGGCATTGGCAAAACAGGTGCCGTTGGCAGGCAAAAGTTCACAGGTCACTACTGTTCGGAGTAACCCATGCCATTTGCCTGCCCTGCTGGCGGCCTTTGCCATTGACTTTCATTGCATGCCAAGTCCGTAGGATAAAATCCAATCACTAAACTATAATATTTGGTACTATTACACTATCCCAATACAGAAAGTGCAACGATCTCTTGCACCCTGCAATGGCGACTGATCCAAACAAGTACAAAAGGGGCCGCTATCCTCAAGCTAACGAAATACTACGAAACAAGCTTACGGAACTACAGGCTGTATAATATTCATCTATATACCTAGGGATTGGAACGGGAATGGGTGCGGGGTATTGGAAGCGGGATGGGCGAGGGAGCAGGGAGGGAAGGGACAGGACCATAAATGTAAGTGTAAGTGTGTACAGATTAGGGGAGCTCCAACTAACGTCGCTCCCTACTCCTTTTTCGCCGCCAACTTGGCCTGGGCAGCCGCCTCCTTCTTGTAGTTGGCCACGTAGAAGGCGCTGAACATGTAGGTGAACAGGCCGGCGTTGAAGGTCAGCAGGGCGGCAATGGACTTGGGGAAGTTGCAGTTGGGCTGGAACTGAATCTGCAGCGTGTGCACGAAGATGATCAGGAATTGGACCTAAAAAGAACAGAAAGGTTAGCCAGGACAACTCCCCGATGAATCATCTGTGAGCACTCACAATCTGCAGGATGGTGATGTACTTCTTCCACCACAGATACTTCTGCACCTTGGGTCCCATTGCGGAGAGCAGGTAGTAGGCGTACATGATGATGTGGATGAACGAGTTGATGAAGCCCAGCAGCGTGCCATGGCCGCCGGCGAAGTACTTCACCCCGATGAAGGCGCACACGGGCATGAGCGAGTGGTGGTACAGATGAAGGAACGAGATCTGGCGCTGCTTCTTGCGCAGCACAAAGAACACAGTGTCCAGCAGCTCTGTGATCTTGGCAATGTAGTACAGCCACACGGCGCGGGCCATCTGAAATGGGGATAAGTGGGTTAAGTATATATATACTATAAGCTGACTTTTTGTGACTACGAACCCGCATGGAAATCGGATCTGACTCATACGGAACCGGCTGACAGCGGAAGCTGTAGTGTCCGCCCCAGCCGCCCTTGTAGCCCTCGTAGAAGAGCACCCAGCTGAGGAGCACCTGAACCGCGTTGTAGACCAGCAGCGTGTTCTTCAGCTCGAAGGGCTTGCGGTCACGCATGTAGCGGGGTCCGGCGTACAGGCAGAAGTACAGGTAGGCGGCGAGGATCATGAAAAGCGGTCCGGGGGCATTCGAAAGGAACCAGCTCTGCAGGAGTAAGAAGTTAAAATCGTGATAATTTCCTAAAATTATTTTAATACCAACACTAAGCAGTTATCTCTTGATTTTAATAAGTTAATTAAATCTTTAATAAAATTTCTTTACGATAAACATAAATAAATACATTCGAAGGCATAATGTCGCGAAATCATGTTATTAGGAAACAAGTTTTTAGAAATAAATTAACAAAAACAGAATGACTCCACTAAAAATTTAAATAACTAAAGAAGACAAACTACAGAATTAAAGACTGATCATAACTCCAGTTTTCAAGTTAAAAGTTTTACAAGCAAATATATAAAATCCACCTAGATTTGGATTCGTTTGTTTGCAATACCCACCTTGGTGCGCAGATCCTCGTGCTCCACAAAGAAGTTGACCATCCGGTCAACAATGGTTGTCGTCTCGTTTAGCCTGACCGACGACATCTTGCCAACTGTAAATAAAGAGTAATCAAAAATTATTAGCCTGGACAAGAATTTTGGGGGTCTAGACTCTAGAGGGGTGAATTATGATGCACTGCCGCGTATTAGCACCTTCGGCGGCCGTGGAGATAGTTAATAGACGCGAAACGCATTCGATCTGTGTTTGGTTTTGGCGCTGCGAGCATTTCCTGTTAATCAGCGGAGCACACAAGCCAATGCTGGCCAAGGCGAAGCCTCACCTACGCTGGATCAGAATATACTATATGCGTGAATATATGTGTAGGTATATACGGATGATTGCGGGTGAGAAATGTCATATTAGTTTAATCGTGTAAATCAGGCGTAGCTCTGCAAATTCCCTAGTGCCAATAACCTGGTGATTTATGTTGAAGTGGCGGAAAAGAAAAAAGTCGACCAGGCAAACAGTTTAAATTCACAATTTACCAAGAGCTCAGCTCCGAATGAACTGTCGCATCAGCAATTCCTCGCTGCGCGTTTAATTCTTTCGGCCAACATTATGATTTACATTGTTCATTGTTGTTGTTAAGTGGCGGTTAGCCGACGAAAATAAGGGACCCGATGCGGCCGGGTTACGTGCCCAGAACTGGTTTCATGTTCATCGTTCGTTAACTTGACCAAATTAGCCGCTGATTCTCCTCCTTCTCCCTGCTTCTGGCTGTTGGAAAAACCCAGCCCGATATGACCACAGGAGGCAGGATAGTCCAAGGACAGCGCGGCAGGTCCATGCATCATTAATTTTATGGTTCAGGGAGGAGAAACTGGTTGTTGGATCTCAATTTGTGATGTTCATGAAATTCGCTTGGCTAGACAATGGAGCTCAGTTCAGTCTGAATCCTTTGGTCAGTCACAACTCATAAATATTGACAATTTTAACTGGTTGTATCCCTTGATAATATTTTTATATTTACTTTATTTATGATATAGACTTTATATTTCATTCTTGGGGTTTTAGTTACAGTTGAAAAAATTTAAATAAAGTTTGTTTTTCTTTTTAATTTTAATTATAGTTTGTTTTTTTTGTTTATTCTCATGTTAAGCTTTCTTAAAATTTGAAGGGTTTAATCAATTAAAATAACTTTTCAGTCCACATTCTCTCAGTGTTGGTTATTCGATACTTTATTTTTTGTGACAGAGCAGAACAAGTTCAAGTTGAAAAGATTTAAGAACTATTCCCTTTGTTTCTTTCATATCTTTCCGGAAGAATATCAAGAGACTGGTTAGTCAAGGACGACCTTTGAGAGGCCCAAGTGGCTATAATTTAAAGGTATTGTCTTCTCAGAGGAGAGACGCCTTGATGGACGCCACTCTGGCGAACGTTGATGGTCGGTATTATTGGTCCTTTGGCAACAGTGACCGGTGACTTGGCGGTTTCGCCTCATAATGGCACTCTCAACGCACCGCATTGGGCAACGAGCTGAGATCTTGGCCAAGTAGCTGGCCCAGTTGGCGCATTCGTGTAACTCACTTGGCCATTTGAGCCATCATTTGGCCGGGCCGGGGCTCTCTATTAATTACGTGGGCACCTGCCATCTGCGACTCCGATTCGCACTCGCACTCCAAGTGAACGCCATTATGGAATCACCCAGCGAGCGCCAGCTCGAGCGTTTTCTGTTCAGTCATCGCGCTCTTGGCGGAGCTGCGCGCGCCCAAAATGCATTCATTCAGCCAGATATTGACTAACGAGAATTTCGTCCGACTTATTTGCATTTATTCGAGTGCCATTGTCGAGTGCTTTTGCAAGGCCGGCAGTTCCAATCGACCGCTGCCGCCACCCGAGGCAGGGCTTTCGTGTGGCTTTTGAGGGTGTGAAGAAACCCATTTGAGTTACTTTCCAGCCTTCGAAGTGGCCAAGAACTAACTAGCGGTGGGAATTATGTTGTGTTCGAGTCGTTTGTAAGTAACAGGAACTTGAATCTGTCTATGCAAATATCCTCGTTCGATTATAAACTTGTTTTATTTGCCAGCGGTAATCGTTCTATAATCAATAACATACTTATATATGTGGCTGTTCCACTAACCTGTTAACGATTTCCACTCGAATTTCTCATCGGTCGAATTTCACCGGCAAAATTCAAATAAAATAATAAGCTAAAATCAAAGCGTTATATAATCAAAGTCTATCTATATTCTACCGGTTTGCCACGGTCAGGGGCGAAATTTAATTCTTGATTTATTCGACGATCGAGGGCTGAGCTTGATCTTGGCTTTAGTTTTGGGACTTTCGAGCGTGTAGAAGAAGATCTTTTTTATGGCCACTTAGCAGTCATAAATAGTTGGATAGTATTGGAGAATTCCAGTTTAGTATCAGGAGGCCATCGTCGCTTCCATGTGGTTTCCCCCTGGCCTTCCGGTCTCTGAGATCAACCGCGGACTCTCCATCTCGTCACCGCCCAGAAAAATCCCATACGAATTGCTGTAAAATGTTGCCTATCTATTTGACTATTGGATTTTTTATCCAAACGTTTGGATGTTCAAATGCAAATTAGCTTGGACTTTATGGCCAAATAGCAAAAGGCAGAGAGAACTGTTCAGTCAGCATTATTTTGCATATGAATTATAGAATTTGCTTCCCGCCATCCGGCAGCCAGAAATTCCCGAAATTCGCCACGCCAAACATTGGGCCCTGATCTCTTTTTTGCATAAAATCAGGCTAAAAATTGCGCAAAATTTTCGCTATTTTTCCAGCAAAACTGACGGCCATTTGCCTGTCAATTAGCGTTTAACAGTGAACGAGAGTGCGTGGCAGCAACGGCGGCACCAACCGAGCAAATATTAAGTGAAGCCCAATAATGGCAGAGTAAATAAATAGAAATATCACCCGCCCTGACGTCACATTCCAGTTTATTATTATGCGATAATCAGCACTGCCAGAAGTCGGCCGATAAATTCTAGACACGCGCCGCCCCAAAGAGTCGCACGTTTTGTTCTGTCGCCAAGCTCTGGCCACCATTTTAGGTTCGCCCAGCACATGTGGCGTATGCGCAATGTGCGCCCACTATGCTTCGCGGATTCCGAAGGCAGGTTCTACACATTTACAGACTCTCTAGGCTGATAAGAGGCCACTGAGCATCGCATGGCATCGCATCGCTCCGGAATGTTGAGGACGGGCCGCAACAAAAGACAGGGCATAAAATTGAAGTCGAAGCCGGAGCGGCAGCCTCTGATCAAGCGATTGAATGGACCTAAGGCAATGGCATCGACATCGGCATCGGCATCAGCATCGGCAACGCATTAAAAATCGCTACCAAGGTCGCACGTTTTGAGGAAACAAAAAACCGATGCCGAAGCTGTAGCTGTAGCCCCAAATCGACCGACCTGATCTCTTGCATTGGAGAGCAGTCGCCATATTTTGTGCTCCCAGTTCACTTCGGTTTTTCTTTTTCTTTTATTATTATTATTATTTTTTTTTTTTGCTTTTTTGGGCGTGCCTATGCCGACTGGGCAAACATAAACACCTCGACGGCGGCTGTCGAAGGCGTTTTATATGCCCACTGGCCGCTAAATGTTTCTTTTTCGTATGCAGATTGGTGTGTTATTGGCTTAACTATTTTGCATTAGCCTTAGTTCGTGCTCTGACCTTGAACTAGTCGCTACAGCGAGCTGATGCAGGCGCATAAATTAGTCGATTTGAGCAATCGGTGACTTCCGTGTAGCTGGTCAGAAAAATTCCATTGGGAAAGTGAGATTAACTGACTTGCGGGCATTCCTGGCAGCAATTAAACGGAATTGACAAGGTTTCCATTACAACAGATCTCTGTGAGTGCTAATTGAGTCAATTCAGCAGCGATATGTTGGCGATCGAGTCCCCCCCTGTGTGTGGGATCTACACCAGCCGCCGATTAGATCGGCCATTCTACGCCCCCCCGTGTCGCAGGCGATGCTAATGGACAATTTTCCGGATTAGCTTTCTTCTCGCATTGGATTATTCAAATGTTGCCAATTTATTCTTATAAATATTCAATCACCGTTAAATATTCTCTAATATTCCCCACCCTATGCACACGAAAAACAAGTCAAAGTTCGTCGCCTCAGTCTTTCGTTTGGGCAGCGACGACGACTGAATAAATTACATCGCAGACAAATAGTCACTAATTGCGCCTGCCACAAGCCGACTCAATATATATCGATAGGCAGTTCCATTGATCACCGGCTGGATGACGGGCCCTTCTTTTAATTATGATCAATTAGGTGCCCCGATATGTGGGGGGAAAAATACTGCGGCAATTAACAGCTTCGGAAAAATAGCCAGCAAGTGGTTCGTTTCAGCGATCATTGTTTTCAATAACACTCGACTCCGTCACTATTCTTGCTTATGACATTAATGTCATTGCACTTGCAGTTTCAAGAGCCATTCTGGTCCGGCCCAAGGGTGCCCAGAGTGACCTAGTCATTCATATAAGCAAGCCGGCCCATTGGGTGCCCAACACAACTCCCATAAATATTCATTCTCAGCAACTTCTGACCTCCAATATTTGCCACTGTCATCACCTACATCATCATCATCATTATCGCCATCGCCATCGCCTTGTTCTGCCTCGCGATTTATTTACCTTGCCATTATTATCAACTTTTTTGTCGGCTTGTTGGGCAAACAAGGCACTCGCGGGCGCACTCGGCCGAAAGAAAAAATTAAGAAATCCCAAACCAGATGGAAATTAGATGGATTTTTTAACTGTAGGTGTGACCGCCGGCGCATGTGACCCCAATTGGATTCAAAATATTAAAATGTAATTTGCCAGGGCGCAGAAATGTCACCGAAGTGGTCATAAACATGGAGACAAGTCACCCGCGACTTTTTGTTAATTTCATTTTCTCCCTTTTTCGGGCTAAAGTCGACCGCCAACGTGCGAACGGATGTGCAGCAGAAACCTTTTGTGGACCCAATCCCAGGCCTCGGCGCTGTGTGATACCAAGATAATTTCAGCGACAGCCTAACTATCTCCCTCTCAGCCCCCGTCCCCTCTCTCCACAGACAGACTTTTGACGTCTGTTGACGCCAAGAAAACAGCAATAAAATCATAAATAAACAAATTGTGCGCATGCGTGAACGTCAGCATCAGTGCCTCTTTCCAAGGGCAAGCCCAACCGAATTACATTGGTGAAAAATGAGAAATATGGGTAACTGTATGCTCAGACAAGGCGTGATCTACCAATTCTGTTTTCATGAATGAATCCATTTCGAAATAAAAGATCAACAAACACCCCATTAACAACAGTCGGTCGCCCAATAAACTTGTCAGGTTCTTATCACATCGCAACTTGGCCCAAAGTATAAACGTAAATGAGCGAGAGTTGACTCTGGGATTTCCGCTGATGTGTATCTCTTCGTTTAGCACTTCTTCTGATTGCTATTTATACATCGCAAACTTGTCCAGTTGTTCCCATTGTGTCGAAAATGTAAAGCGAAATTCAGGGCTAAAGAGGAGAGCTCAGCAGCGAAGATGATATAATGCCATCGGATGAAAATGAAATCGGATGCGACATGCACTCGCAAAAATCGGTGCTAAGATATGCCTTGCTTTTGCAACAAACTAATAGCCAATCGATCATCAATCAATACTTTTTTCCTGTGCACAAATCGGGGGTAATGCAACTGGCAGTCAGTGGCAACTTGTTTTAGGTCGAGAGATGCGAGGGATTACAATAACGTTCGAAATTGATCAATCGGTGTGCGATTTACATATCAGCCGCATTAGCAATGTGATTGACTTGGCCCATACGAACCGACGACTTGCTGGCTGGTGGGTTTGGGTTTTGGGGCATCATCTTCATCTCGGGGCGGGCATTACAGGTGGTTTTGTAAGCCAGTTTTTTTTTTTTTTTACCTATCCCGCTCCTCTCTTTCGAGGCCTGGCCACCGCCGCCGACATGTTATTTATTTATACAATATTTAGTTTGTATTTTTCTTTCGAATTCGTCCATGCCCGGGTCTTTGGAGCTGCTTTGGGCTTGGGTCGTTTCGCAATGACCCCAAAAATGTCTCAAAACCTTTAACAGGTTGCCCCAAACAAAAGCTGAGCGTGTGCGCATAATTTAGCATAAAATCTTAACACAATTTCCCATTGTCTTTCCTCTTCTTGTTCTTTAGCACTTGCCTTTCTGTTGAATTTATTGAATAATTTCTCGGGACGAAATATTGAACGGATGGATCTGTCTGTGGCTTATTTGCGGCACGACACGGCACACGGCACAAATGCACACGAGAATCCAGCAAAGAACGAACACTAAACGGCGTTGGGATTCTGTTATCCTTCGAGGTAATATCACGTATACGCGGCGTTGGCGGCCAGAACACAGAACACGAGGCGGCAGAAGGCAGATCTCGGCCAGCTCCACGAGTACCCAGCGATTACTTGGCAGTTGGCGCTCCGACAGCAGACTAAGCGATATCCGGGCCCTACAAGCCGTCTTCTATGCGCCGCGGCCACAGATACAGATACAGATACACAGATACACGGGCTTCGGATTCGCAGTCGCAATCGGATTCGGATTCGGTTTCGGACTCGGCTCCGTTCGGCAGCCGATCATTGGTGAGCAGGTGACCACTTCGGCTGGCAGTCATTGCATGTTTTTGAGGGCCAGTTCTAGGATCTGCGTCGAGAACACTCGGGCTAATTACCCAACGATCGCGGCGGCGGAGGTGGCGTGAAATGTATGCAGACATTAATGAGATGTCGATAATTAACGTAATGAACGACCGCCTCCTCCCGTGGCGCAACTATTTTTAAATCGGCATAGTAAGAAGGGAGAGAATGTTGCAGTGCGCCAAATCATAGCAGCCATCTGACAGCTCCAGCTCTACTCCGGGCGGGCATTCATCATGGGGAGCGCAAGCGGGAGCTGGCTGGCTGGCGGCGGGAGTTGAATGCTACTAGATGTGCAAAAGCGATTGTGCAATTAAATGGCCCCAAAATGCCTCCCAGCCAAAGGGGTACGGAGCCGAACCGAGCTTCCAGTGGCCACTTGATGCATTTCAGCCACGTCATTCCCTCACTCACTCTCCAAGTCGGCGGCGTTGCACTGCCAACTGCATTTTACATTGTTTGGGACTGAAAAGAAGTCTACAATTGCCGAGACGCACTGACTCCAACTGTGACTCCGACTCCCTGACATTTGGCTCCATCGCTAATTGCTCAATCAAAGGAAAGAAAACAACGCAATAAAAAAAAATGCAGGTTCGAGCCTCATTTGGTTGTCAAGTGATTGCCGCCGGGCCACGCCCTCGCTTCCCACACAAAATAAAAAACTATATACTATATATGTATATGTGTGTGTTTTTGTAAATACAGACACAATAAGCGAGGGGCCTGCACTTTGCCGAAAATTTCATCGATCGATTCATTCACAGATCGCCGACGCCTTTTAATCTTTGGATTGCGATCCGGGCGATGCCCAATTCAGCTTTGGCAGTAGCTTCATCGAGCTTCCGCTATTGCGAAGGTCGCCGGCGTTGGAATGCCCGACGCGTGCCCGAATCTCATTTGGCGGCGGTGCGAGGCGGCGGGTGCTCCGGCTCATTTCAATTGCTAAATATTTTGGCAATTCGACGAAGATTCTACGCAGCTTTTGGTACGTAAACGTTAACGAACTCTCCGCCTAAACTCATTCAAGGCGGGCCCAATTGGTATCAAAGTGGGCAATCGCCATACAGTTCCACTTCCCGAAGTGTGGTTTTTTATATCAAAATGAATAGAATATCATTCCATCTCACAGTCTTCTCGAGACACTTTTTACAAGCGGTCAGGTTTAGGTTATAGATGCTCGCCTGTGTTTCCTGATCGCCATTCAATCAATCAGTTCATTGTTTAGGCGACGATTTCCGTAAATTTTCCATACGAATTTTCACTGTTTCTTCAGGCCAAACCATTTCAAAGTCAATGTCGCCTGGCGGAAACAAAAGACTTCGGACACGAACTGGCTGCGATGCCCCGGAGCATCGATTTGAAGATACGACTGCTGCTGTTCATTTAACGACTTATTCGATTAGGGGTTTTTATTCAAAGTTTGTTTTATTTCACACACAACCAGCCCCTTTACAACGAACGCGAATAAAAATGAAAAAACATACTGCCAGTCTTTGGTGGCGTACATTATACGGATTTAATGTTTTTGAACTTGACAAGATAGCTTAATTTGCATGAAAATTATCTGAGTGGGGATTTCTGCAAGAATACGATTGATTGAGCAAAAAATTCTGCCCCTTCCTTGCCTTGTTTTGCTCCTAATTTTGTAATTTTTGCGGCAATTCTTGTAGCAATCGCCTGCGTACATTAAAACTCAATTAATGCGTAACACTTAGAGAACGCGGTAAAAAAAAAAAGAGCAATGGAGCAAAAAGCGCAGCCCGCTAATCTTGGCCAGCACCAGACTTTGAGTCCGCGTCCGAGTCCGAGGTGAACTGAGGCTGATTGGAAATCAATGAACTAACGAACTGGACACACAGCGGATGCTAGCGACAGCCTTGACCATAACACTTAAACGCCAAAAACCTTCAAAGACCAGTTGCCACTTGCTGGCTGTCAGTCAGTCAGTCTCCAAAGTCTCACTCTCCGTCTGTGCCGGGCTCATGTTGTCGATGTTTATTGAATTTAACGCATAAAGCAACTGCACAAGACCATTAATAAACAGCCGAAAGCCGAGCTGAAACTGAGTGGCGGCATGAACTCTACATACGCATTCGAAGTTTGTCGACATTGAACTGCACACCAGACACACACGAACTCGGGCTCGGATTCGGTCTCGGCTTCAGATACAGATATAGATGCATATCTCATAATTACGATGACAGCCAAATACATAAATCGGCGTAGCTTCTCTTCCGGCTGGCCCAGTGCTCCGAAGAGCAGGTCCCACACACTGACCGACTTGGTCGAACAAATTGTCCAATTAAGTGTGATGGGAAGTAATTAGAGTACACACATGTCGCGTGCATTGGTCTCTAATTGAAAGTGAAAGCCCAGAAAAAGCGGCAGGCGGCAGAGTTTCTGGTAAAATCAGGTAGCCTCAACTGAAGATGACACTTGAGCAGGAGCTATGGGTAAATCGGTACGAAAATTAGAAGCTAAACTAAAGGTTACAGCCAAAATGCGAAGGTGAGACCATTTCCCCACCTGGCATTCATTTGCATTTTTTATTCAGCGCGAAGTTTTGGGGATACTGTGTAGGGTGTTTTATGATCTCCGGACCCCTAACCATAAAACGTAAAATGCTTTGGCTTTTAGTAGTATTTTTGTATAGTTTAAATGGCGTATTGGGGCTGTGGAGGAGTGGCACCAACCACAATGTTGTGGGGAATCGAATGTACAGTAATGCTTCAATAACTTGTCAGAGAGTTTATAAGTAATTGAAGTTAGTTTTTAAAACAATCAAAAAGCAAAACACTAGGACTTACTGGTCGCTTGTTTTGTGACATAAAGAGTTTTTTTTTTTTGATAGTTCAAAAACGGATCTACTATTAACAACGAACGGGGTCAGAAATAGGTGAAAACTGAACACAAAAGTGTAAAATTTAGATTTTTATTATATTAAACGCTCTTTTTTTGAGCCGGTTTTTGAACATAAAGCGGAACTCCAGTCAGTGCTTGCGGACCTTTATAGTGTGGGTTTACGAACATTTTGCAATAGTTTGGTTCACTTTCATATTTTGGTCTACTTTGTAATTCTAGCAATCGGCAAATGCTTTTGAAGTTGAAACAAAAATCAATGCTCCACTGTACCATTTAGCTATGCACATGCTTATGCCTCATTAAGACATTTTTAAAATATTTCTCTTTGACTTCAGTTCGGATTTCTCCCATTTTGCTCAACTTCCGAATTGATATTCGCCTTATTTTTAAGCGAGTCATTTGTTATTTCTTTTCTTTTATTTTTGAGCTGTTGAACTTGAATTTGTGGAGTAAAACAAAAAAATAAAAAATTAAAAAAATAAACTGCAATCGCATTTAGTTGTAACACGTGCCGACAACTTGTCAAGTACAAAGTTCGATTATTTGCGAAAAATAAAACGAAATAAAAGGCTTAATGATCTGCGGATTCATTAATAGAAACTGGCACACAACAAAGACAATGTTGCCGTATAGAACACACGGTAGCGGTGGAGGGAATCGGACGCGAGATCCGAGACTAGACCACGGCTGCTCGCTTGATCAAGGGGGTCAAAGTCAACTCGAGATTCGCGCAGCATTCGCCCAGTCATCAGCGGCAAGCGCCGTGCCCTCGCCTGGCAGACTGAACTCGTCTAATAACCCCGATGATGCCGATTTCTAGTTCTCTGGGGCAATATATTTATGGACAGGCATTAGGGTGATGGCAACCGTTGCCAAATCGCAGTCTGAAGCCTCATTGCCATAAAATATGCGAAATAATGCAGATACATCCCCAGGTCCGAGCAGTAGAAACGATCTGATTGAGAAGTCTTTTCAGATTTTTATTGTTTTGATTCGCTTTTATGATGTATATATAGTAAGATAATATCTATGCGCCCTCCTGGTGTGTTTGTGTTTGTGTGTGTGGGGGATGAGTGCGAAAATGTGATGTGTAAGTGTAAATTCAGACCTCATTTGAATGTGTTGTTTTATTACTCCATAAACCCCTAATGATTTAAAAGCAACAAAAGGGTCTTCTAATTGCATAACTTAAAGTAGAAATTGCTTCGCTGGCTTTTCGAAAACGTTTTTTTAGCAATGGTAACCCTGAGCGAACCTTAGCTGAGGTTCAGCGAATAGCAACTGCTGGCAACTCTACCCAACTTAGAGTTAGATTAAGTAAACGATTGGAAATTGTATAAATAATTGTACATATATTAATTACTCTAGCGGAGAATCCATTCGACAATCAACCGTTTCACTACTTTTGCTTTGTATAATTTAGCAGGATTTAATGATAAATGCGCATAATCTGAAGTATGTTTCTTTTTGTCGTGAATTTGCTTCTGCCGGACTCGTATAACAAGGTACAAATGCTCACCAAACGCTAAAAAGGCTGCATTGTAAAACTGCGCTAGTTCGCACTATTTAATGTTTCATGAGTAAGTATGCGTAGATTGTGTGTGGGTACTCTTTCTGATGATTGTTCCTTGGCATTACACTCCAGCTTCTAGAAGGTTATTGGTTCAATGGGAACGGTGCACTCGCTGTACATGACCCGGTACATGGCCATTTCGGATATGCCATGGTAATGCACAAAGGCAGCCGCAATAACCAGTATGTGGAATATCTGATGGGATTGGCCCTGCAAGGTAACAACGCCGAGTTAGGAAGGCTTAGGGGCGTCAAATGTGTGGCCAAGACTTACCCAAATGTCGAACTTTCCGGGGAACCAGCGCTCGGGCACGCGAAGGGCATACAGAAGGGCGCCAAGGATGTACAGCAGGCCTAAAACAATGTTTTT